ACCAAAGATACCTAAAGTCCAAGTCCAGCTGATCTTTTACCAACCAAGGTTTTCAATCCTGCACTCCGCTTCTTCTTCATCATCTTCCACTCGACAAACCTCCGGTCAAATCGAGCTACTCACGCCTCCCTATGTCTACTTCATATTCATCCCCAGGCCCTGCTTATATCACACCCTCTGCTTACAGGGTCCCAAATCTCAGCCCAAGGACCACATTTCCCTATAAAACTCCAAGTTTAAAGGCTGTCTTTCCACTCCCTTCTCTGGGCTACCATAGTCTGATTTCTTCTGATATGACAATGGGAACATTCGCACTGTATCCGCCTTTTTTTTTTTTTTTTTTATTTTTTAAGACAGAGTTTTGCTCTTGTCACCCAGGCTGCAGTACAGTGGCATGATCTCGGCTCACTGCAACTTCTGTCTCCCAGGTTCAAGCGATTCTCATGCCTCAGCCTCCCAAGTAGCTGGGATTACAGGCACACACCACCACGCCCAGCTAATGGCTTGTAATTTTAGTACACATGGGGTTTCACCATGTTGGTCAGGCTGGTCTCAAACTCCTGACCTCAGGTGATCTGCCCGCCTCAGCCTCCCAAAGTGCTGGGATTACAGGCATGAGCCACCAGTCCTGGCCTTTTTTTTTTTTTTTAACTTTTAAGAATTTTTATAAAGACAATGTCTTACTCTGTTGCCCAGGCTCATCTCAATCTCCTGAGATCAAGTGATCCTCCTGCATCAGCCTCCCAAAGTGCTAGGATTACATGTGTGAGCCACCACTCCCAGCCTCCTCTCTTTTTTTTAAATGTATGTCTCAGTTGTTTTCCCTTTTTTTCTTTTTTTTTTTTTTCAATTTTATAACTTTATTTGATGTATTTGACGATCAGCGATTAGTTCTCATCCACATTGACTGTCTGCAGATTTTTGAAAGTGGTAACAGGTACATAGGTAACCAAAGTATAGAGCTTATTTGGTGAATCTTCATCCTCATTACGTTTTCTGGACAGCCGCACACGGATTCGGTATGGGACATTCCTTATTCCTTTGGCCCAGACAGCTTTGTTGAGCCTGGTATCAATGCACACATCTGGAGTTCCCATCTCCTTCATGGCAAATTTCCAAATCTCTTTGAGTGCCCGAGGGGCACGCTTCTTGAAGCCCACTCCATGGATGCGCTTGTGAATGTTGATGGTGTATTCTCGGGTCATCACCTCGTTGATGGCAGAACGGCCCTTTTTCTTCTCGCCACCCTTCTTTGCGGGAGCCATTCTGCCAGGTCCAAGTTGGAAAGCCCTTTTTGTCTTTATAATCCTTCTCTGGGCTTTCTGGGATATGTGTCTCAGTTTTATTCATGAAAAGACACAGCCTTGTCCACTCTATTTTTCTCCGTACATTTGCATTGTTTTATTACTTGGGCATGAGTTCTCTCTCTATATATATATGTATACACACACACATAATTATATATATTTATATATGTAATAATTATATATTACATATTATATATGTATTACTATATGTGGAATACATATATCATATGTAATATAATATACCTATATATTATGTAATATATAATATATAACATATACAATATATATTATTTATATATAATATATAATAAAATATATATAATCTATGAATCTATATATGTGTGTGGGTGATATATGAGTGTGTGTGTATATGTATAAACCATTTGAGGGTAAGTTACATATATCATAGCCCCTTACTCCTAAATATTTCAGCGTGTATTCTCTAAGAATAGGGATAGTCTGTTACATAACCACAGAAGAGTCATCTTCATAAGTTTACATTGATACAGCATATTTAGCTAATATACCATGGTCCCTATTCTAATTTTGTCAGTTCATCTAACAATATCTTTTTGAGCATTTCCCCCATCTAGTACAGAATCCAATCCAGAGTTAGGTACTATACTTAATTATGTCTTGTTAGCCTCTTAATCTGCATCCTACATTTACATGTACATGTACATCCTATATTGTACATTTACATCCTACAATATACATCCCACATTAGGAGTATAAAGAAACCAGTTTACCTTGGTGGAATATTCTTTTGGACAGCCCATGTTGACGTCAATGCCAGCCACATCATTTTCTCTGGAAAAGGATGAAGGAGTAAAGGTAATAAATATTGAATTAGAGCAAAGAAGGTAAAATTAAAGGCATGGATGGGCCTGTGCTCATGAACCTCTTACCCTGTCCCTGACCCTATGAAACACACCAACCCCCAATGACAGAAGCTGAAAAATGGGAAAGAAATCCATCCCTAAAATGTGCACCTGCCTCATCTGAGCAGAAATCCAGAGAAAAGATATAACGTGTGCACACATTTACAAAGGGCTAGATGCGGAGGACTTTGCTACTTTAGAGTTGTATCAGATAACTCAGATGGGCACACTGAACTTGGCTGAAATAGTAAAAGTCATTTGTCAATGCAGAAAAGTGACATGAGCCTAAGAGCCCTTTCCCAGACGACAGCTTCTGGTGGAAGTTCTAGCACTGTCTGGTATGTATTAGGTTGGTGCAAAAGTAATTGTGTTTTTTTCCACTGAAAGTAATGGCAAAAACCGCAATTACTTTTGCATCAACCTAAATATTAATACATGTTAATAGTCCGTGATCAGCAGCAATAACTGCCTGAGTTCCGTCTCACTCTCTTTGTAATGATAACAATAGCTAACACTTACTAAGATCTCATTATGTACCACATGCTGCAAAGACATTTACATACATTACTTCATTTACCTTTCCCTATGTCAGAGGTTGGTAGCACTATTTTATAGGTGAGAAAACTAGGTTCTCATTAAGGTTAAGTAACTTATCTCAGGTCACACAGTTACAACAAGTAGCAAAATCAGAATTCCAAACCAGATCTGTCTTAACTTCAAAACCTATCACAAACTATAGCGCACTCTCCTGCCTTTATTTTTGTTTTTGAGACAGGGTCTCACTCTGTTCCCCAGGCTGGAGTCCAGTGGCGCAATGGAGGCTCACTGCAGCCTGGGCCCAAGTGATCCTTGCACGTCAGCCTTCCAAGTAGCTGGGACCACTGGCATGCACCACCTTTTCTGTAGAGATGAGGTCTGCCTGTGTTCCCCAGGCTTCCTGTCTTTGTTAATTCAGGAAGCAATATGTCTTACCTATACTTTGATTCTTAAAGCTTTAGGACTCATAGTCATTGGGGTCCCTGGAAAGGGAGTTTCATGAATAACTACAAAAAAACAGCTCCCCACAATACGCATAGAGGGTCTCTGAGATCTAGGGCACTGAGGGTACACATGAGTTCCAGGCCAGCCCTTGGATGCCACAAACAGAAGGAAATCAGACACTCTTTTTTTTTTTTAAGACGGAGTCTTGCTCTGTCACCAGGCTGGAGTGCAGTGGTGCAATCTCAGCTCACTGCAACCTCTGCCTCCCGGGTTCAAGAGATTCTCCTGCCTCAGCCTCGTGAGCAGCTGGGACTACAGGTGTGTACCACCACACCCGGCTAATTTTTGTAATTTTAGTAGAGACAGGGTTTCACCATGTTGGCCAGCATGGTCTTGATCTCTTGACTTCATGATCCACCTGCCTTGGCCTCCCAAAGTGCTGGGATTACAGGCATGAGTCACCGTGCCTGGCCAGAAACCAGACACTATTAACCTGGAAATAGAAGGTAATAGGCTAGGAGGCAGAAGGGTGGGTCAACTCCAAAGTCACCAGGACATTAAACCCTTACAGCTCAAAGGAGAGGCAAAGGCAGTGCTAAAGACGGAGGAAGAACTTACACAAGCCTGGCCACAGCAAGGGCTCGCTCTGCGTCTGAAGTCCCCTGGGAACACAAGAGGCTGCATCAACCACTGCCCTGATACAGATACACATGCACTGACAAACACACCCATGCAGCACACACATACACACACACACCGCACACACCAATAACAGAGTCAGGCTGGCTTTCTCTTAAACAGCCAGCCCACTAGACTAGCTTGCTGCCAGCAGAAAAAGGTGGACTTGGAAGGTTGAGAAAATGTTATCAATGCTATGATTACACCCAAACATATAAAAAACTTGAAAACATTTTATAGTGACCATTCAAACACTCACCATTTAGATTCTACAATTAACATTTTGCTAGATTTGCTTTATCACATGGTTACCCATTATTATCAATTTTTTAGAAACCTAAACATCATTCAGGATGTTTCTGAAAAAGTACCAAGAAATTCCCAAAGTGACAGAAGAGCACCATAGAGTCATCACAACTCAAATACAAATCCTAACTACTCTTGAAAAATCCTAATTTCTTTCTATGAGAAATATATATACACTACATAAAAACAAAGACTATGATCTGAGTAATCAATGCTAGGGATTAAAACAATAGAGAAATCATGCCAAACAGACAATTCCTACAAGTAAGTAAATTAAATTTGAGACTAGAGGCATACATGACTGTGATAGTTTGATTTCCATAAACCGTCTCCAATAGTGTAATTACTCATGACTGGCTCTTTGGAAAACATTAAAGCGGATCTTCAGGAAGCCATCATTGTGTAATGTACCCCAGGTATTCAACACTGGCCTGGCACAGGGCATGAGTTGGGAAATCCCAGGGGATGGTGAGACTCGGGAGGGTATGCAGCAATGGCGTCTCTCACCATCTGGAAGACCACCCTGTTCTGCTCTCTTTCACAGGTGCGGAAGACAACTCGATCATCGGGGGCGACAAAGTCCACTGTGCTGAGCACCTCTGCAAGAAAACACAAACACATAGCGTCACTCAATGAAGATGCAAATTCAACCCTAGCCTAAGTCCTGGAAGAAAACACGGCCAGAGTATAAGCTTGGAGGGGAAAGAGATCCTAAATGTATACCATTCTTACCAAAAATAACTATGCACATGGGAGGCTTCTGTGATGATGACAATGGTCTATTTCCTGACCTGGGTGACGGTTGTTCGTTTTGCAATTACTTGTTCAACTGCATGTTTGTGTTTAATGCACTTTTTCCGAATGGTGGTTAACATTTTGCTGTGTTTAAAATGTTAAAACAGGGCCGGGTATGGTGGCTCACACCTGTAATCCCAGCACTTTGGGAGGCCGAGACAGGCAGATCATGAGGTCAAGAGTTCGAGACCAGCCTGGCCAACATGGTGAAACCCCGTCTCTACTAAGAATACAAAAATAAGCCGGACGTGGTAGGGCGTGCCTGTAATCCCAGCTACTCGGAAGGCTGAGGCAGGAGAATCTTGAACCTGGGAGGCAGAGGCTGCAGTGAGCCAAGATTGCGCCATTGCACTCCAGCCTGGGGGACAGAGCAAGACTCCGTCTTGGGGGAAAAAAAAAAGTTGAAACAAAATGTACATACGTAGCAGTAGCTCACGCCTGTAATCCCAGCACTTTGGGAGGCCAAGGCAGGTGGATCACGTGAGGTTAGGAGTTCAAGACCAGCCTAGCCAACACGGCAAAACCCCATCTCTACTAAAAATACAAAAAATTGCTGGGCATGGTGGAGGGTGCCTGTAATACCAGCTACTCAAGAGGCTGAGGCAGGAGAATCGCTTGAACCTGGGAGGCAGAGGTTGCAGTGAGCTGAGATTGTCCCACTGCACTCCAGCCTGAGCAACAGAGGGAAGCTCTGTCTCAAAAAAAAAAATGTTTGTCTGTTTCAGTTTTGGCCCAACTTTTCCCAGAAAACATCACTCTGAAGTTCAGCAAATTTACTATTTACTTACAGTGAGACAGGTGCTGCTAGTGGAAGGTTACTATATAACAATCAGTCTCCTATACTATTCATAGTTGCATATTTGCAAATGTGCCTATTTGCTAACATTTATTCGTGACCCCAAAATCAATACTTGTGATGTTTTCATGGTCATCCAACGACAGGAACAGAGTGGTGAAAGTTTTGAGTTGCCCGTTGTGCATGTTCCCAGCTGAGGTCAAACAAGGTGATGCTCTGTCTTCTCCCTTCAGCTCTCATACTGTCAACAAGTGGCCCTTTTGTGGTATATTTCATGCCACATTTCTGCATGTTTATGCTTTTTGTTGGTGATCTCACTGTTTAAAATGGTCCCAAGTGGCCAGGTGCGGTGGCTCACACCTGTAAACCCAGCACTTTGGTAGGCCAAGGCAGGTGGGTTACCTGAGGTCAGGGAGTTCGAAACCACCCTGGGCAACATGGTAAAACTCAGTCTCTACTGAAACACACACAAAAAAAATTAGCTGGGTGTGGTGGTGCATACCTGTAGTCCCAATTACTTGGAAGGCTGAGGCACAAGTATCTCTTGAGCTGGGAAGGCGGAGTTGCAGTGAGCCAAGATCGTGCCACTGCACTCTAGTTTGGACTACAGAGTGAGACTGCATCTCAAAAAAATAAAATAAAATGGTCCCAACCATACTGCTGAAATGCTGTCTAATGTTCCTAAGCACAAGAAGACTGTCATGGGCCTTACGGAGAAAATATACATCTTGAATAAGCTTTGTTTAGGCCTGAAATTATAGCACAATTACCCATGTTAGAGAGTTCAATGTTAGCGAATCAATGGTATATATTAAATAATATGCCTTTAAACAGAAACACATGGCTGGTGTGATGGCTCAGTCCTGTAATCCCAGTATTTTGGGAGGCTGAGGCAGGGGGATCACTTGAGGCCAGGAGTTTGAGACCAGCTGGGGAACACAGCAAGAACCCCATCTCTACAAAAAATTTAAAAATTGGCTGGGCATGAAGGTGTGCACCTGAAGTCCTAGCTACTTGGAAGGCTGAGGCAGGATGATCATTTGAGCCCAGGAGTTTGAGGCTGCGGTGGTCTATGCTCACACCACTACACTCCAGCCAGGGCAATAGAGTGAGACCTGGTCACAAAAAAGAAACCAAACAAAAACAAAGAAACACATAACAAAAGTTATGGACTGACGAGTTGATGAAAGTATGACCAGAGGTTTGCACAAACCTAAACCTTTGTTTCCCCCAGGGTCAGTGGTTCAGTATCTGCTCATCTGATGTTTAAAGCAACTTTACAGAAACAACAACTGTGCATAATGAGAAGCAACTGTATTTTATCTGTCAGCTTCCTAAAGAAGCTCCACAAATAGTTGCGACCATTATTACCTTTCAAAGATCACTAGACATGAAAAAGACCGAACATGGCAGATGGGAGAATATGCCTACCTCAAAGGCTGTCTTTAGAAATAAATGAGATCTTTGACGCACTTAAAGCATTTCCATACATGGACGGTGTTATTATCATCCCAGCACTAAACAGATGAGAAGGTTTTTAGGGTGGGGTAAAGGTGTGACATGTTGAGAGAGGTAATCAAAGTGATCACTGACAGAGACAGCTCATGACTGGCAGTAAGATGTGTGAGAGAAGAACCACAAAATCTTTGTGTGTTTATAATGCAACTCTGTTTATAACAGCAAAACACTGGGAACCCCTGTTAAGGCTCTGCTAAAATCAATTCTGACACAGTTGCCCCAGGTACTGACATGGGCAAATGACCTAGTAGATAAGCAAATGGCAAAACAACATGTGTTGTATGATCTCATGGGGTGGAGAGATAGATGATATAGATATAGATACAGATACATTTTTTTCTCCTTATCTTTGACCTAGAAGAGGGATAAACATGTCATATTTTGTACACACACATTATTTACTATATGTATAGAAAAACATACATTATTTCTCTTTCTGATTACCTCTTTAGGTAGAGGATTATGGAGGATTTTCATTTTCTAGGTTATACAGATCTGTAATATTGAATTTTTTATCACACAGAAAAAAATATATACATTTAAAACAATTCAGCCAGGTGTGGCAGCTCACACCTGTAATCCCAGCACTTTGGGAGGCCAAGGCAGGTGGATCATGAGGTCAGGAGTTCAAGACCAGCCTGGCCACCATGGTGAAACCCCTTCTCTACTAAAAATACAAAAATTAGCTGGGTGTGGTGGCATGCCCCTGTAATCCCAGCAACTTGGGAGGCTGAGGCAGGAGAATTGCTTGAACCTGGGAGGCAGAGGTTGCAGTGAACCAAGACTGTGCCATTGCACTCCAGCCTAGGCAATAGAGGGAGATCCCATCTCAAAAAAAAAAAAAAAAGGATTTCACGAGCATATACATATGTATCAAAAACTTCAAGGAATATACCACAACTCTAATCAAAGCAGAATCAGCCTCATCAATAAAGTATCAGCAAAACTACAATTCATCACAATCATATTTGCACAGAGCACAGGGTGTCCACAGCACTTACATGTACCTTATCTTATTTGGTCCTCACTCCAACCCTATGATTTCAGTAAAGCAAAGACTATGATTTCATTTTACAGATAAAGTAACTGAGGCAGACAGAGGTCATATGGCCTGCCCAAGGTCACACACCTAGCAAGTGGCCAAGCCAGGGCCAATGCTAAAGCCATCCTGACTCCAAAGCTCCTAGAGTTCCTCCTATGCTATGATACATGGTGATTTCTATGCCAGCAAGCCTGTGAGTGAAAGGCACTCTTAGCCCGTTTCACATCAGGCTTTTTGTCATGGCCTCTGGAGATCAGTGACTGCTCTCAAGGGAGCATCTGATCTACAAAATTACTCAATGAAGCCAGACAAGACACTTTCACCCAGGGAAGGGCAGTGGCAGTGCTGCTTGAGCCCAGCAGGGCACATGTATCAGTCTGAAGCCAGATCTGTACTTACCATTGACAACTCTCTTGCACTGAATCATCTTGAGGTCGATCAGCTCCTGCAGAGGAATCAGAGGACGCTTGTCAGTCCTGAACATGTAGGCTCTGGGCATGAAGGATTTTCATCACACACCCAATGAGGATCGCTTGGCCAGTCGCCCTACTACCAACAATAAACCACGGCTTTTGGGACATGTAGTGCTATCCTCCCCACCCAAGTATGGCAAGCAGGAGCCAGAGTGAGCTACCCTAAATTAGCTGCTCTTCCCAGGAAACTTGGAGATGTTTGGAGCCTAGAATGAATGAACCACTTAGCCAGAAAGACGATAATCATCCAGGATGTAGTTACCTGGAAATTTTTCTCACCTACTGGTCTCAGCAGAAGTTCACCCCATCAAAGAATATCCCACCTATCCCTAAGCAAAGGGCAGGCATTGAAGGGCTCCTAAGAAACATCCAAGAACAAAACTGGAACCAGTGAATAGAAGCAAAGGGAGGGAGATCTGAGATGAACACAGGAAAGAAAAGTCTAAAACCTCTATCCAACATGGGTCACACTATGTGGAAATGAAAAGGGTGAGGTGCTCAACTCTGGAGATACTCAAACAGACTCAGGAAAGAAAGAAAAAGGGGGGTTTCTTCAAAATCACATCACAAAAATGGAGGAAAATCTCCTATCTGCCGGAGCACTGAGATTCTCTAATTCTTAATTGGAGACAAGACTGTTCTGCTTTGCTCTATCATAATCTCAGCACACACCTGTCACACTGCCCAGAAGTTCATGCCCATGGATTCTGGGGGTCCAGAAAAGAAAAGAAGAGGCACTCACTCCTAGTACTAACCTCCACACTGACTCCCTGTGAGCCCCAGCAGGTCACAACCCCAGCCAGGTGGGCACAATGACCTCCTACTCACTCATGGGAGTACCTAGGGACAATGGCGAAAGAATCCCCATAGTGTCCATGGGACTTACCCCAGCATACCCACCATCAGGTTAAGAAATGCTCTAGGTGTTTCTGTGGCCATTCTCTCCATGCAGTATTCAGGTCATCAAATATCTGATGCCCACTAGGCCTGAACAAACAAATCACCACAACCAAGCAGTTCGGATATGGTTGACATCCAACCCCCAAAAATCAGTGTGGCATCCCAAGGGATGGGCAGAGCCCAACTCAGAGCCCCGGTAGCCAGTGATCCTAGTTGCAGGGACAGGCAACAAGGCAAGTGGACAAGTAGGAAGGACTGAATGGCCTGTGCTTATAAAAATAAATTCAGTAGCCAAACTGAGCTTTGGTAGGGAGTGGAACAGGAAAAAGTAAGACATGTATCACATCAAAGATTGGGAAGTTTATTGGTTCCAAGTATTTACAGAAATCTCTGTCCAAACATTAGCTAACAATTAAGCTAACCCAGGAGAACTTTATAGGCCACACATGGCAACACAGGCCTTACAAAATTAGTTCAGAATAGTCACTAAGCAAACAAACAACAACAAACTCTGGCCAGACATGATGGCTCACGTCTGTAATCCCTACACTTTAGAAAACTGAAGCGGGAGGATTGCTTGAGCTCAGGAGTTCAAGACCAGCCTGGGCAACAAAGTGAGATCTTGTCTCTACAAAAAATTTTTAAAACAGCTGGACGTGGTGGCATGTGCCTGTGGTCCCAGCTACATGGGATGCTGAGGCAGGAGAATCGCTTAAGCCCAGATGGTCAAGGTTGCAGTGAGCTGTCATTGTGCCACTGCATACCACCCTGGCCAACAGAGTGACACCTGTCTTTTTTTTTTTTTTTTTTTTTTTTTTTGAGACAGAGTCTCGCTCTGTCGCCCGGGCTGGAGTGCAGTGGCCAGATCTCAGCTCACTGCAAGCTCCGCCTCCCGGGTTTACGCCATTCTCCTGCCTCAGCCTCCCGAGTAGCTGGGACTACAGGCGCCCGCCACCTCGCCCGGTAGAGACAGGGTTTCACCGTATTAGCCAGGATGGTCTCGATCTTCTGACCTCGTGATCCTCCCGTCTCGGCCTCCCAAAGTGCTGGGATTACAGGCTTGAGCCACCGCGCCTGGCCGACACCTGTCTTAAAAAGAAAACACACTGGGCACAGTGGCTCATGTCTAATTCCAGCACTCTGGGAGGCCGAGGCAGGCAGCTCACTTGAGGTCAGGAGTTCAAGACCACCCTGGCCAACATGGTGAAACCCCATCTCTACTAAAATACGAAAATTAGCTGGCCATGGTGGTAATCCCAGCTACTCGGGAGGCTGAGGCAGGAGAATTGCTTGAACCCGGGAGGCAGAGGTTGCAGTGAGCTGAGATCACGCCACTGCACTCCAGCCTGGGCGACAGTGCAAGACTCCATATCGCGAAAAAACAACAACAACAACAACAACAACAAAAATACTTTGTTATTTGAGAATATCTACAAAACTGACAAACTCTTAGCTAGACTACCAGTGGAAAAAAAGAGAGAAGACTCGAATTATTAAAATCAGAATGAGAGAGGCCAGGCGCGGTGGCTCACGCCTGTAATCCCATCACTTTGGGAGGCTGAGGTGGGCGGATCATGAGGTCAGGAGTTCAAGGCCAGCCTGGCCAACATGGTGAAACCCCATCTCTACTAAAAATACAAAAATTAGCTGGGTGTGGTGGCGTGTGCCTGTAATCCCAGCTACTTGGGAGGCTGAGGCAGGAGAATCGCTTGAACCCAGGAGGCGGAGGTTGTAGTGAGCCGAGATGGCGCCACTGCACTCCAGCCTGGCAACAGAGCAAGATCCCATCTCAAAAAAAATAAATAAATAAAATCAGAATGAGAGAGAAAACATTACTTCTGATCTTAAAGAAATAAAAAGGATTATAAGGAAATAATATAAACCATTGTATGCCAAAAAATTAGATAACCTACATGAAACGGACACACACTACTGAATCTGACTGAAGAAATAAAAAATGGGAACAGACCTAAAACAAGAAATTAAGGCTGGGCACAGTTGGCTTATGCCAACAAAAATTAGCCGAGCGTGGTGGCACGGGCCTGTAATCCCAGCTACTGGGGAGGCTGAGACAGCAGAATTGCTTGAACCCGGGAGGCGGAGGCTACAGTGACTGAATCATGGCACTGCCACTCCAGCCTGGGCAACCAGGGGGAGACCTCGTTTCAAAAAAAAAACAAAGAATGAATCATGTATGGGCCCGGGCGCGGTGGCCTCAAGCCGTGTAATCCCAGGCACTGTTGGGAGGCGAGACGGGCGGATCACTGAGGTCAGGAGATCGAGACCATCCTTGGCTAACACAGTGTCGAAACCCCCGTTCTACTGAAAAATAACAAAAAAAAACTAGCCGGGGTCGAGCGTGGGGCACCTGTAAGTCCGCCAGCTTAACCTCGGCAGGCTGAGCAGCAGAGAATCGGCGTGAACCAGGAGCGAGCTTGCAGTTGAGGCTGAGATCCGGCCACTTGCACTCCGCCCTGGGCAAGAGAGCTCAGACTCCGCCTCAAAAAAAAAAAAAAAAGAAATCATGTACTTTACAGTAATATAGATGCAGCTGGCGACCATTATCCTAAGCAAATTAATACAGAAACAAACCCAAATAACATATGTTCTCACTTATAAGCGGGAGCTAAGCATTGGGTACACACGAACATAAAGATGGGAACAACAGATACTGGAGACTTCGGAAGGCAGGAAGCAGAGAGGGGGCAAGCGATGAAAAACATCCTATTGGGTATTATGTTCACTATCTGGGTGACAGGATCAATAGAAGCCCAAAGCTTCAGCATCACACATGGTGCCCTTGTAACAAATCCTCATATACACCCCTGAATTTAAAATTTTGAAAATAAGAGTAAATTTTAAAATTAAAAAGTTTCCCAGGCCAGGGACTGTGGCTCACGCCTGTAATCCTAGCACTTCAGGAGGCCAAGGAGGGCGGATCACCTGAGGTCAGGAGTTCAAGACCAGCCTGGCCGTGAACATGATGAAACCCCGTCTCTACTAAAAATACAAAAATCAGCCAGGTGTGGTGGTGGGCACCTGTAATCCCAGCTACTCAGGAGGCTGAGGCAGGAAAATCGCATGAACTTGGGAGGTGGAGGTTGCAGTAAGATGAGATCACACCACTGAACTCCCGCCTGCTGGGCAACAAAGTGAGACTCCATCTCAAAAAAATTTTTAAAAATAAAGTTTCCCACAAAGAAAAGCTCAGGACCAAATGCCTTACTGGTAAATTCTACCAAATGATTAAAGGACCAATCCTGCACAAACTCTTCCAAATAACAGAAAAAGAGGTAACACTTTCTACTCGGGAGGCTGAGGCAGGAGAATCGCTTGAACCCAGG